TGGCTACGTCCTGGTGTGCTCGGATTTGGTTTTGGTGGACTTTTTCATTTCGGTCATTTACTGCTATTTTATCTGGTTTGTGATCCAGTTCGTGAAATTCTTTCGTCTTCCTATTGTTGCTGGTGCTTCTTTATTTTTTGGATATGGATTCTTCTATGGTGGTCTGCCACATTTGCCATGTTCGGGGTCATATTGCTCCATTTTGTCCTATGGTGGTATGCCACATTTGTCATGTTCGGGGTCATATTGCTACATATTGTCCAGCCAAATCACACCGTTCGAGAGGCTCATTCTATCGACATCATGGATCTTCCTCTACCGCCACTTATTCTGTTACAGCGGCTATCACAACTGAGCCTCAACATTCGTCTTCCACTCTTCAAGACATAGAGGCTATTCTCAAACAGGTTATTCTTTTCAATTGTTCTATGTCTGCTACCGGAGGTAAATCACATTGGTATTTTGATTCTGGCTGTTGCAATCACATGACCTCTAGCCCGCAGCTTTTGTCTTCCTCGTCTTCCGTAACCTCTTTACCTCCTATACATACTGCTAATGGTACTCTTATGAATGTTACTCACACTGGTTTGATTTCTTCCCCTTCCTTGCATCTTCCCGACACATACTGCGTTCCTGACTTGGCCTTGAATCTTATTTCGGTTGGTCAATTGGTTGACCAAAGTCTTAATGTTATATTTTCATCTTCTGGTGTTCAGGTTCAGGATTCACAGACGGGACGGCTTCTTGGGAAAGGTCGCAAGACGGGCCGGTTATTTGAGCTTGAGTCACTTCATGTCCCTCGTTCTTACTCTTTTTCTGCTTCTGCCACCGATAGTAAGTCTAGTTTCCAGTGGCATCTTCGTCTTGGGCATGCATCTTCGAATAAAGTTCGTTCTTTATATAATAAGGGTCTTTTGGGTTCAGGTCATTTTGAGTCTTTTAGTTGTCTTCATTGCAAACTTGGGAAACAACCGGCTCTTTCTTTTTCTGATAGTTTGTCAACTGCTGATAAACCTTTTGGTTTGGTACATTATGATATTTAGGGTCCTTCTCCTGTTGCTTCTCTGAGTGGTTTTCGGTATTTTGTTATTTTTGTTGATGATTTTTCTCGTTTTACCTGGATCTATTTTCTCAAAAATCGTTCTGAGTTGTCCAGCATATATGTTCAATTTGCTAACATGATTCTTACCCAATTTTCTTGTCCTATAAAGGTCTTGCGTACTGATAATGCTCTTGAGTATAAAGATTCTACTTTTTTGAAAGTTCTTTCTGATCAGGGCACCATAGTTCAGCATTCGTGTCCATATACTTCCCAACAAAATGGACGAGCTGAACGTAAACACCGTCATATTCTTGATACTGTCTGGGCTCTTCTTCTTTCTGCTCAGTGTCCTGATCGTTTTTGGGGTGAGGCAGCCTTGACTGCTGTTTATGCTATCAATCGGTTACCCTCATCAGTCATTAGTGATGTCAGTCCTTTTGAGAGGTTTTACGGTCAGTCTCCTGATTATACTCAGTTACGTCCTTTTGGTTGTGTTTGCTTTGTTCTTCTTCCGTCCCATGAGCGAACCAAATTAGAACCCCGAGCTCGTCTGTGTTATTTTTTGGGTTATGGGGTAGAACACAAAGGATTTAGGTGTTGGGATCCGATTTCTAATCGGTTGCGTATTTCGCGTCATGTTACCTTTTGGGAGCATACTACCTTTTCCTCCTTGTCTAAGTTCCATATTCTGTTTGATTCGGCGTCTCCTTTATTCATGTCTATTACTTCAGATCTTTTTCCAGATACAGATATAGGTTCTGACTCACAGCTCATTGACACGCCTGTCATGCCTCCGTCTTCTGAAGTGGCTCCACCTGTGCATCCTGAACCGACAGTTCGTACTGAGCCCTCTTCTGATTCTGCACCTTTGCCAGCTATTGATCAGCGATGGTCAACTCGTGTAAGTCGTCCCCCTTCTCACTTACTTGACTATCATTGTTATTCGGCCATTCTATCTCATCATGAGCCTCGGTCTTTTCGTGAGGCGAATGCTGATCATTGTGGC